CTTTGTATCTGGGCACATATAGATTCTCACCTCCCTCTTCAGCTATTTCGACTTTCTTAAAAGAAAAATAGAGACTGTCAGCGAATCTCCGGGAGTTGAAATAAGGATCGTCCCCTCGATAGACCTCAGACTCAGTAAAGTTCAACATTGGGCTCTTTTTCAACAGCTGTTTTTGCGGAAACTTTACATCTGGATTTTTTAGAAGCATCTGATTTTGCCCAATTTTAGTAAAATATGCTCCAAATTTTGCTAAAAAAGCAAGGTTAACCCCTTACAATTTTAGATTTTTCATACCAATCTGATTTTGCCAAAGTTGACTAAATATACAAGGTACACCTCTTACAATTTAAATTTTTTCATAAACTTTTCTTTTTGCCCAATTTTGCTAGAAATACAAGGTTAAGCCCTAACAATCTGCAATTTTCCAGAATCATCTGATTGTGTCCTATTTTGCAAAAAAAATTGCAATGTTAACCACTTACAATTTGAATTTTTTTCATGAACATCTAATTTTCCCCAATCTTATTCAAAAGCAAGGTTAACCCCTTACAATCTGCAATTTTCCAGAAACATTTGATTTTTTCCCATTTTCGCTTTAAAAAATGCGAGGTTTAACCCCTTTCAATTTGAAATTTTTCGTAACATCTAACTGTGCAAAATTTCACTAAAAAAGCAAGGTATAATCCCTTACATCTGAAATTTTTCGGAAACATCTGATTTTGCCCAATTTCGCTAAAATATGCAATGTTCACCCCTTACAATTTGAAATGTTTCATAAACATCTAACCCCATACAATCTGCAATTTTCCAGAAACATCTGATTTTCCCCGATTTTGTTAAAAAAAAAATGCAAGGTTAACCCCTTACAATTTGTATTTTTTTCATAAACATCTAATTTTGCCCAATTTTACATCAGCTTATGCTAACAAATTATCAGGTAACTGGATCATTAAACGGGACAGGTGCACATCGGCCTTGGAGCTCAGACCATGTGTCATGCACTCGTCAATGCATAGATGATGCACATAACACTATGGGTAGTACAGGCACAGCTGGGGGTACTGCACAAACAATGATGAACGCATTGCGTATGCTTAAAGAATTACCCACAATTCCGGTTTTTACCGTTTAGGTCTGGCTCTAATCACTTTACGCGATCCCCTGACGTCTCATACACTGACTTTAGGCAAAACAGTCAGACCTTTGCGGACTAGTAACCAGACTTTGACTCTTAAAGAAACATCGAATGAAAAGGGAAATATCAAATGCATATTGCAAAAGATCGAATGCAAACATACCGATGAAACATCGAATACAAATAGCTCGAGATGTCAAACATATGTGTGAAACATTGCTCACATATTTGAGAGTATCGCAAATATATTGTAAAACAACACACACAATTGTATCGAAAAACATCGCACATTTGATGCAAAAAATCGAACATAATATTGAAAACATCGCACATATATATCGTCAAAAACATCGCACATATAAATTGAAAATCGCATATAAATGTAAAACATCGCACACATATATTGAACATCGCACATATATTGTAAAACATCGCACAAATATATTAAACATCGCGCAAATAATAAAAAACATCGCACACTTATATTGAACATCGCACATAAATGTAAAAGATAACAAACACATATTAAACATCCAACATATATATTGCAAAATATTGAATATTGCAACGTTTGACACGCCATACTGGGAAGGTCTACTCTTTCTGGATGCAGGACGTAATTTTCTGGAGTCCTCTACATTGGACAGAATTTGCTTGAATAATAACACGGGTCGGCTTTCCGCCTACATGACACGGGTGCGCAGAATCCCATGCATGAGGTAATTCGCTTGTACCCGACCCCGGCCGCCCTGCAAACAGGACGCATGGGACAGGCATATGAATTCACGTTCTGATTGGATATATTTTATGTGACTTGTGACCTGCAAGTCATCACAGCCGTTAAAACGGCCGTTAAGACAGCAAAAATTTCGCCAAGGCCATTGTGGCATAATCATTAGAGCGAAGCTGCGACGAAATCATGGAGAATTGGCTTCGTGGATAACGGGTGATACTCGATTACCTAACCGATAATGTCCCGAGCCGAATATCGGCGTCCATTTCCCCACGCCAATCTTATATCACACGGACCTGTTTGAAACCTGCCAAGCACATAATATGTATTCCGGCCTGTTCATGTCCTATCTTTTTCTGTGGTTCATTAGGTTCAAATAACGGGACGTCTCTATAGTCCGAAGTACCATTGGTCCGACGTCCCATTGGTCCGACGTCGGGTCCGACGTCCCATTGGTCCGACGTCCCATTGGTCCGACGTCCCATTGGTCCGACGTCCCATTGGTCCGACGTCCCATTGGTCCGACGTCCCATTGGTCCGACGTCCCATTGGTCCGACGTCCCATTGGTCCGACGTCCCATTGGTCCGACGCCCCATTGGTCCGACGCCCCATTGGTCCGACGCCCCATAGGATTAGGGTTAGGTTCAATCAACCTGAACCAGTGGAATTACACAGTATTATGTTTTGTCGGACCAATGGGACGTCGGACCAATGGGACGCCGGACCAATGGGACGTCGGACCAATGGGACTTCGGACTATCGAGATGTAACCCAAAACAACACACCTTGCGACCAGGCACCGATCGAGGCGCGTGTCTGGCCGCTGACGAACCCCATATAGTCCGGCCCCAACGATACAAATGTTGTACACCATCCAAGAATGATCTGCCGCCTGAATGGTTTGCCTTGAAAATTACAGAGCTCATTTGCTGGCAGTTTTTCCAGATTGCAAACCTTTGGTCATCATCGAAGCCAGGCCATCAGTACTTGTCTTTACTTCTCAACTCAGATTGTGGCACTGAGCAGTATAATTGCGATAAAGTCTGATGTAAAAAATAATGAAGAGACAGACACTGATTATGTAACATGCACATTACGCATGGGCCGTTATTGTCATTTTGCCACATTATGTCATAATTTACATTTATTGAATGAAGTTTGGGGTCAGAGGTTACATGAAATGCATATTTATACATCCGAAGCACAGTTCAAAGAACATATTTGTTTTATTTACAGCCTATATACATTAACTTGGCATTGGATGCCGCGATGTCATATGCCGACCGTGTATTATTTTCATCTCATAAGAAATTTCCTGTAAAACTTTTAAACTTTGAACTTAAAATAAGAGATTGCAATCATTAAAAGTAAGCCAATACTTGAGTCAACAAACTCGAACAACTGAGTCAAAATTTTGAGACGGCGCACAGTGACACTGTCATGTGCCTGTCAATGCAGTCTGAAGGCAGAATAGGAACATTGGTATTCACCCGGACATGAACCAATCATTTTATATGTCAAATACTCACTCAAAATGAAGATTAAAATGATCTCAAATACCTTATAATTTATCGCACCAAAAGTTTCACAGAAAAGAATAATTGAAAGTAGTGTTGAAAATAGCATGCCCGCATGCACACTTTATGCGTTGACAATAATGCGTTGGCATTGGCCTACGAGACCCCCCCCCCCCCTCCAATCAGGCCCGGATTAAGTGTTTCGAAGGACCTAGGCACCAGTGTTCCGTAAGCCCTACTCGATCCGCCTTGGCATATACGCACCGGCACCAATTGGTGTTTATGCTATTAACAAAGCACTGTTCTGTACAATATAGGCTACATTTTTTTTTATTCAAGGACAAAAATAGTTGGGGGGGGGGGGGCGACATGTCCCCGTCCCCCACCGATCGACGCCCATTGTTGGCACAGTGCTTCATAACGACAGACTATACGTACACTGTATACGACGCGTAGGGCCTATGTATGCCTATGCTGTGAAGCGTCAGTTGGTGAAATCAAAAATTCTGAGAGAGACCCTAAAGCTTTTAATTTTTTTTCTGGGCGTGGGTGTATATATGTGTGGGTATAGGCCTATGTGTTTTATGGCACACTGCGGTATTTTCGTAGGCCCCATTTTTCGTAGGACTGTGCCTATTGGGTAATCCGGGCTGGCCCCAATTTTTGTTTCGAACAGAAACAGTGTGGTTCTCGAACCACGCGTCTCGTCTGTTTTAAATGAGACAAATTTAACATTTTCAGCCTATTTTACAACTAAACCTAAGATGACCTTTGATCTCAGTATATGACCTTTGACATCATTATCATATGAAGGGTGCCATGTTGCATGTATGACCCGAGTTTGGTTTGGCTTGACTTCAACTTTTGAAATGAGACCAATTGTACATTGCCAGCCTACTTTACAACTTGAACTCAGATGACCTTTGACAGCATTATCATATGAGGGTTGCCATGTTCCATCCATGACCCGAGTTTGTTTCTAATTGGACTTCAGCTTTTGAAATGAGACCAATTTTTCGAAACTTTAACCAAAATACCATTCACATACATACGGACGGATGGACGGCCAGACAGAAGACATGTGGGGTGATGGAATTGGGTGATATTCCTTTTATCTCTTTTTCTAAAGATTTCACATCCGGGGTGATGTTTTTCTATAGATTTCACATGTGAGGTGATGTCCATGAAAAGAAACGACGAACGGACAGGCATTGATTGAATGTTCTCTTTCCTGAACTTCGTTCAGGCGAGACAAAAATTGCTATGCAACATTTTTGGCATTTTTTTTGGCTTCGAAAGAAAACAATGCCCAAAGGGCACTAGACTTGACTCAAGTCGGAATTGCTTTAAGTCGGAATCTAAAAAAGTAGCGAAAATCACTTAGTTTACGCCTTCCCAGATGCCCGACAAGGTACACTTCAGCGCGCGTTCCACTTCAGTGCCGTATAACAATGCGCACACACTGTATGTACATTGTACAACACGCGTATTACACGTACACATGTGTGTGCATGTATTGCAGAGCATGTGCATACATGTGGTGCAAAAGTTAGCAATTGGGTTGCTGCATCACTTGAAAATAACATGTACATGTACGTTTTTAACATGATGGTCCGGATTCGACGCATGAGGGCGCGCGTTATGTACTGTTAGGACGTATGCGGTATACCGGTAAGCGCTGTGAGTGGATTTCCTATAGGCACAGATCGAGCGCAACCCAGACTTTGCCAAGTCTAAAAGGGCACATGATCGGGCACAATGGTTTACTTAGAAAATAACGAAACTCTAAAAAACAGAATTATAAGTGAGCTAGTGCATTGTTTAAATCACAGGTTTGAAGGCGGTGTGACGAACTGAGCCTTCAGCATCTCCCTCGGTATGTCTCGATTCCAATTCTCCCCTCCAGCGATCATCTCTGCGGCCATCCTTCCCACCTCATCAGATAGCATCGCCCCAAAGCCGTTTCCACCAATTGCAAGGCCGAGTCTGGGCGATACCATATCACAGTAGGGGAGTGTGGTCGGCGTGCGTGAACATACGCACATATCGGTTTTGACGGAGACTGGATTGAAACCTATACGAAATAGACGGCAGAAAATGGCTACTGTTTATTACTTGTTTTAAGGAAAGTCATTAATATAATCTATAAAGGCAGTGGGTGATTGCTTTAGATTTTAATCTGAAGGAATTTTAGTATTTTATTTTGATAGTCCAGTTAGGCCAAAAAAAAAAATAAGTCGGTCTCTGGTCAGCGCGCGCGTCGATTTTAATCATGCCCGTCGATTTTTTTTTCAAAATGTTCCGCGGTAGCTCCAACAGCTCCTCTATTTCCGCACCTTCTCAATTTTTTTTACCAAAGAGCACCAAGGTATGGGAAATTGCACCAAGGCAAATGATCGAAAGCACCAAGGCAAATTATGGAGGAAACCAATGTACATGAGGACACCAAAAAAGCAAAATAGTACCCACCTTGTCTGTACAATCCAAGCTTGAAGAAAAAAGAAAAAAAAGCCGCGTGGCCGCGACAATTTCGGAACTTTGGTCTGACCAGAGACCGAAATTGTTTTTTTTTTTTGGGGGGGGCCTTATCTATATAAGAATATCAAGCTTAATACTGAATTTTGCCGACAACTCCTTCAAAAGCACCATAGCACAGCAGCATTTTGTGTAATAACCTGGTTCTTACCTTTGATAATACTCAAAAGCAAATCTCTGTACTTTTCCACCAACTTCGGATCGGGCTTAGACAGAAACCAGGCTTTGACTTCCTTGAGGGTGGTCAGCCTTCGCTGGTCCTGGTAGCCTGGTCCTAGCTTCACGTAGTATTTTCCTGGCAGAATGAAGATTAACCTAATATGTCGAAAATCTAATCTAAATTCTGGTGGTTTTGTAGTTTTTCTCAACATCGTTAATGAGACCCGCTCCTATGAAACCCGGATAAAGTAGCTGAAGTTGTTTACGCACAAAGGCCACGCGAGGTCAGTTTTGGTGGAGCTGACCATTTTGAGGATTTAAGAATATCTGAATCATTAAATATTAATCTACAACCTCCTAAAATACGAATACAATCCATAAAGCAGTACAGAAATGTATACAAAAGCATTTCAATATCCGTGTTAATCTCAAAATTGGGTTTTCAGGGTTTTATCACTTAACCCTCTCTCCTGGGGGTGATAGGGTTTCAGTAACTTTGAAATCATGATAATTTTTGAAAGTGAAAACATCAGGAATACGAAATTGGCAAACCTAAAAAAAAAAAAAAATCCGTCAACTTTGTCCGATTTTTTGGTCTCACATGCCTACGCAGTGGCAACACTTCTTTTTAACGAACGATTATTAGGAACTCAACTTTTTTTTCAGGAGGGGATATTTAATGATTCAACTTTGCAGGTTTTAGGCATGTTTTTGACATTTCTAATGATCAAGACGTAATTTTGATAATTTAGTCGAATTCAAAATGTGCAAAGAGGATTCGTTCTTTTTTTGGGGGGGGGGGGTTAAAATATGAGCTTTTACCTTACCATCCGGGTACTTTATCGGTGGAAGTATATAACAATTGTGTTCAAAGTCGGTGAACGATGTCAGGGTAGGCATGTTGCAAAGCTTCTTCAAATCGCCTTCCCCAACCTCCAGCCGAACTGTGAACGTCCCGTCAATTACAAAATCCAGTTTTGTAGAGGGCGGTAGAAGATCCTTGAGCTGTGTGAACGCGCCCGTGCACAGTAACACCTTCTTGGCCAAGAGACGACGCCCTTTCTTAGTCAGGACCCTCATTACTGGCTCGCCGTGAGTGTGGTCCCCCAACTCCTCCACCGAGTCAACCACGTCATCAATTATATCACATCCTTGGAGGGCGGCTGCCTTTTGTTGCGCATGGACGATCATTCGAGGGTTTGCAAGGCCGCCATCAACTGGGAACAACATGGCGGTGTCGCCATATCGGCTGGTATCTAAGAATGGATACCTTTCACGGACGCCCTCTGCCGTCAAGAGATCGCCTTTTTCCTTGACTATCGGCACCACTATGCTTTCGATATCCTTCCCATAGAAGATGTGACCCGTTGGGGCGTTGAGTTGTATGCCTAAGACCAAAGAGCCAGATCATAGCTCATAATAATGTTTTAATGATTCAAAACTGTCATTGTGATCATCGCCGCAAGAGGACACGTAGTTTACGTGAAACCGCGTGCTAGGTGCTAAAGAAGGCATTATCACACTCTTATAGTCAATATACACACAAACCACACACTCACACTTCGAAGTGTTCATATTGAGACCACCTTTAGGGCTATTAACCCTAATCCCCTGGGCCCTTTTGGCAAGGAACCAACCTCAATACTGCAAAATCCTCCGATTGCCACCGTGTACAAATTGCATTCAGCCTTAATCCTCCAAAATCATTTCATTTCTCTAATTTGTCCAGTGAAGGGGTAACCTTTATTTCATTCCGTTGAAATCCTCCAACAATCATTGTTAATGGGTTGAGGCAGAATTAAGCTCCTTCGGCTTTCAGCTCCTCAATTGATCCTTCGGCTTTTATATTAAAAAATGATGCAGAAAGATTTTTTTCGAAAATTGTTCACGATTACTGACTACATCGTCGTATGTGAACGCCTTCAACACAAACAAATTTTGATCAAGTAGATAATCAGGTGTTATGTCAATGCCTAAGGGGAAAATGACCACAAGCCACATTTTTATCGCGTGGGGGCGCTGCTGTTGTAACGACATTTTTGAGATACAAACGCTAATACAATCCCGTTTATCATAGCAGTTTATAACTTGATTTAATGCAAAAAAGAAAGAGAATGATTGGGTACCTCTTGAGCTGTATCAGTGTAAACACGTCAATAACAATGGGTTCGCGTCCGTTAATATAACCCACAATGGGGTCGTTAGAGCGCCCTCACTCGTTCAAAAGCAAGGCTTATTCATCACGGTACCTGTGGTGGCTTCCAATTCTTGAAGACCTTTAAAAGCTCTCATTGTCATCAAACTCCGAAAGTGATCACTTCCCTCGTATTTGCGCACACTTCGTGCGGCGTCATAGTGAGAGGCGAAAATGTCCCGCGATGGGCGGTCCTGAATACAAACATCACAGCATAAAACAAGTTGTCTACAAAACTTCCAATAAGAATACGGCAAATGCTCACAGGACTTTTCCCAAATTAGAATCTTGTAAATAGTTTAGAGTAGACCGTTTGTGCATTTGTGTTTCGTTTGAACCAACAATAGCGTTTGAAATGTAAAGACGCATGCCTTATAACTATGAATTGTTAAGCTCTGTTAATGATGTATAATTCGAGAAACAGAACAAACAACATTCGGGACATGATTCTTACTTCAGCCGGTATGTCGCCCATTCACGGATTTGCCCAATTGCAAACCAACAGCCAATTAGAATGCATGGGGCGGATTGTTCCTCTTTCCTTTTCCATTGTTTATTACTCCAACTTTTTTGCAACAGCTCTCATTGGTTTTGTGTACACGTTTTCTAACCGAGGAGTCCTCGATTTATCCTGTCCGCAATTCATCCATTAATGTTGCACGTGTGTGTCCTCGATTTACACCATAAACAAACGCACACAAAATGGTCAGTCTTGTACGTGGGCAAAATACACTGCGACAATCGTAGCGTATCGAACCTTTCTCCAAAACAGCACATCTTGACGTATAGACGAGCTTTTCTTGCCCTGTGCTATCGTTACAAGTAGGCCACTGGCATTCTGTACATGAGCTTGAAAATGTGCCACTTTTTTACGATACCGTTTTCATGGTTTCACGTTTCTCAAGTTGCTCATAAAATTATATGGCTAATTCGGCTTGGTTTGCTTATAGGATGTCTTAAGTCTCTCCCCGTTTCTAGCATGCCTGAACATAATGTCAGAAACTATACCTATAGGTCACGGTTTAATATTAAACAAACCCTCAGAACACATGTAGGCCTATATAGCTTCTGTCAGGGTATTATCTTGACTTGTTTATTTGGGGGATGTATGCAAGCAAATGGCCAGGAACGTGGACAGTAAACTAACCTCGTCGGAAAGTTGTCAATGTTTCTACTTTTTTGAACGTTTCGTCAATTCTTCTACTTTTTTTTTTACCGAAAAGGTATTTATAAGTGGGAATTTTTTATTATGTGGTTTGCCGTTATAAAGGGAAAATACAACATTTGCAAACATCGAAAAATAGAACTACCAAGTTGTTACGAAATACCTTACTAGGATGTTGGTAAATGACACTCTAAAGCATCTTGTAAAATTATGCCACCAAATTGTGTTTTCTATTGGTTCCATGATCATGAACGGGTGCAGGCCAGCTAGACTGGTTCCCTCACTTTACAATTTCCCGGCATTTTTGATCCATTTCATTTTTAGTGGAGTCATAGAACCAGACAACTTGAACATTTTATTTGTTTTTCTTGGCTTTTCCAGCATTTTCGAACGCAAAACTTCAAACATGTCAGTGTAACAATATTTGATCTATATTATACTAACCCCTCAAATAGTTCATTTCTGAAAATTACAGCAAAAGCCAATGATGTACATTCCCTTTAAACCCTATATTGTTTAAGACTGGGTTGGAGTCTGCAGTGGACGCCGATAATAACCCATACCAGCGTCCATGACTCCAACCCCGGTTTCATAACATAGTGTTTAATAACGGCAAACCACAAATGTATTCCCTTTTTAAGTGCTCGGTTCATGTCCTACCCTTTCCCTACCTTTTCATGTGGTTCACTAAGTCCTATAAGACACACCTTGCGACCAGGCACCGAGGCGTGTCTGGCCGCTGACGATCCCCATAAACCGGCCCCGACGATACAAATATCATTCATCATGTTCAGTGTCACTCCAGGCAAAATGTCGCCCGCCCGTACCAGGTGTTGAACTGGAATATTATGCAGATCAGTTCCAGTCTTGTCTAGTTTAGACACATGCTATTATGCTCACTGGTTTTGTTGATCGTAAACTTTGATCTCGAACGAAAAATGTCGAGTCAGACTAAACTTGATGATAAGTCGTTTTAGATTCGAACTCTATGATCGGCCCGGCTGGTATAAGCCTAGTACGTAATCGGCGGGGTTGCAACAAATCATATCAGAAATAGCCAGCTTTATGTTGGTCTTGGAAACAAACTACGCGCATTGCAGCCATATTTTGCGTGCGTGGAGCCAGTAACCGGTTACCGTACGCAAAATAATAACCGACTTGGCACCAAGTCTAGGTCAGACGTGCTTTCACGGTTAACGGGCATAATGATAATACATTCATGTACGTTCGACCTTGGCACTGCAATCACTCATCTGCACAGTGCACACTCAGTGCATAATGCAGGGTAAAACACATCGAAGTGCACATGCGGGAGACGGGAGCAGTCATTACTTTGAGGAAAGTCACATCAAAAGCGATAAAGAAAATACGAGATTTTATCCAAACTGCAGCTGCCAAATAATATCGCAGATTAAATATTATGATTGACTGCAAGCTGCTATCTATAACCTGTGTAGAAATGAAATTTACCGGCTCTTTCAATGCGGCTTTTATAATCACATTAAAACGTAAGCAAACTGTCATTATGATCATGAATCTGACCTGAATGTCATGCGTAATTCCGAATTCGCACATGTGTATAACACGTTAGCCGATGTCTGTTCAGTCCTGAAATGTGTAAAAATGTTATTAGATTATTTCCATTAGGCTTGGCCGTTCGTTTATCATTCCTTAAGTTTCAACGGTTCTGCTGTCCGCTTTGTTTCAAACATCCCATACAGAGAATTGCTGCGTGCGAAGAATGCTCGGATAGTGAAATGGAATGTTTTTTCTTCATGTAATTATTACAGTGTTTGTGTGATTTGGAAATAAATGTTGCATTGAATTGAATTGAATTGAATTGAATTGAATTGAATTGAATTGAATTGAATTGAAATGGATTTTGTTTAATTGTCGAATGACGATCTGAGTGATCTTTCAATTTTAATCTAAATTGAATGAGCCAGGTGTTAGTGAAAACTTGGTGAAGTTGACCGGGAAAACCTATACATGCAATAAATTGTTTTAAATATGCCGCATCTGATCTCTTAATTGATTACATAGAGTTATTGTCTGTAGGTCTTCGGCCATCACAGACTACGTTGGAACAAACTGACAAAAGACGTATCCGGATATGGAAGCCCGTTTCGGACGTGATTATTCTAGACAAAAATTCTAGACAGGGAAAAGAGGGCTTAAAACGAGAATTCTCACGTTTTCCTATCTCTTTTTAACGATTATTACAGTAGAAGTTTGATCAAGGTATTGATGACTCAGTCAATAATCTTCTTTGACCACAGCAGAACTAAAGACAACATACGGTGGACAGTGGCCCACGCCTAGGCAGATCATGAGAAAGGTTCATGCACTTGCACTATTAATAGGCCAGTCCACGCTTTATTCAGTGCGAGTGTGCCAATTAACCCTTGCATTAATAAGGTTAAGATTCTAGTGCCGGAACTCTGACGCACCACACCATAATTATTTTGATGTTTTTAGGCACTGGATGTTTCTTGGACTGCTTTGGATGGAAAACCTACTGGGTTGTTCAGTCAGTTTTTGGCTTTTAGTACCAGTTCATGCCTCACACGAATTAATAGAGAACATGACTTGACGATTTCGCGACAAATATCGGCGGAGTTGAACTGCATTCAGCAAGTGTTGTGAAGTCATTACGAGATCGCGTATGTTTTCGCTTTTGGACCGAGTTAAATACAGGCCCGTCGCCATGGCCTGGTGGGGCCGGCCCCATTTTTGGAGAGCAATTGGTCCCCCGGCACCAACGGCAAAAGCCATACATATGCATTTTTGTATTTTTTGTTTTATGGTAGTGGGCCCCCTGGTTGGTACTATAGCCCCCCCCCCCCCCCCCCCCTGCATGCTCTGGGCTGGCGACGGCGCTAGTTAAATGGACCATTCTTTGCAGGCCATTAAAGAGCTATCGATGTAACTTTCTGTTAGGAATATGACAACCTTTTTTGTTAACAGACCGGAAAGAATGTAGTGGTTGCAACATGCAGTACAGCGAGAATCGGCGAAGTTTACCCACATAGGAGCGTGTACATCCACGAGATATACTGGGAGGACTTGCAAATGAGATATGTAAGGCCAAAAAAAAAAAATAAGTCGGTCTCTGGTCAGCGCGCGCGTCGATTTCAACCATGCGCGTCGATCTTTTTTTTTTCCCAAAATGTTCCGCGGTAGCTCCAACAGCGCCCTCTATTTCCGCACCTCCTCAATTTTTTTTACCAAAGAGCACCAAGGAATGGGAAATTGCACCAAGGCAAATGATCGAAAGCACCAAGGCAAATTATGTAGGACACCAATGTACATGAGGACACCAAAAAAGCAAAATAGTACCTACCTTGTCTGTACAATCCAAGCTTGAAGAAAAAAAAAAAGGAAAAAAAAAAAAAAAAAGCCGCGTGGCCGCGTCAATTCCAGAACTTTGGTCTGACCAGAGACCGAATATTTTTTTTTTTTGGCCTAATGTACCATTTTTTTATTATTAAATATCTGTACTTAATGGCAAATATAAACTGGTGGTGGGGGAGCCTTCGCCTCTAAGGTAAGGTGTAAAACTGTTTTCAAATGAACTTGAAACTTTACAATTTTCATCATATATGTTGTGTGTCCCATTTAATGGGAGCCTTTTTTCAATCTCCTTTTCCCCCTTTAGTTTTCATCTTATCCACAGTGCGGCACTAAGAACCTTACCAACCAGTGGCGTATGGCCAATTTGATTGGGTGAAGGGGGTTGGCGTGGGGCCGGTGGTGACAACTATAATTGACAACAGGTCATTCGTGCTGGAATTTCCCAGTGACGGCATACTCGGCCGCCACAAAATGTAACAAAAAAAATGGGGGGGGGGGGCTGGATAGATTCCATCTGACTTTTGGGGGCGCAAAGCGGACGATTTTGAACAGTATCTGACAAACCATCTTGCCAAGAGCACGTCGATAATCGTGGCAAAAATAACAAATAACCGGGGGAGTGTACAGCCTCAGATTATTTCCAGGTCTTGTCATCAAATGCTTCGACTTTGATAATACCACCCTATGATAACGCACTGGGGCCTACACACAATAATGTTTGAACGACGGCTCTAAAGTCAGATGAAATCCAGCCTCCAGACCCCCCCCCCCCCGTGAGTCTTTAGATTATTCACAATCCCCCCTCCACTCCCCTCTTATCCCACAATGACAAGGAATCGCCGCTTCTCTATGCGCAAAATGTTATTGCATATGGCTGTGGCGTTAAATAAGTGTGGGTGTTGTGTGTGTACATGCTCTTGTATTGTATTACGCTCGAGGACAACAAAAGGAGCACAAAGGGGCTTTTGATCCTTGAACGACGGTGCCTATTGTTAAAACAGGTCCTCGATTGTCCGAAAAAGTATGGAAACATTATAAATGTTTAAAGAAGTGCACTTTTCGATAAAAAATAACCAAAAAGGGATCATACAAGTAGTTTTCATGCATTTTAAGAGGAGTAGACTCACATAATGTGTGTTTATAAGAAAACTTCATCTCATGAACCCTTTAAACGAGGACCAGATTTTGAGTTTCCAGATAATTTTGTTTTTATTTTTATTTGTATATTGGCAGCATGTTAATCATATAGGTCTACAAATTGCTACAATAAGTGATTTCTTTTGTGCTGATATAAAGCTATAAGAAATCTAATAAGTACTATCCCTAGTTAAAAATACAGGTTTGTTCTAACATAATATTACGGCAAGCATTATACATGGCTCTAATACAAAATTATTCAGTGTGGCAGCATGATAATGATATAAGTCTTTAACAAGTGCTTTCCTGTGTGTAGTTATACATTTATTAAGTGTTATCCCCAGCTAAAAATGCAGGTTTATTATTAAAAAAATATTACGCCGAGTTTTATGCGTGACAAAAGTCATACAAAATTATTTATTTTTCATTCAACGTATCTGGCAAAGTTTGTTCACCTTAAAGTAGGCCTATTCTACGCCGTATATACGCAACATCCTTAGCTTTTCCTGAAATAACAATTACAGTTTATCGGTGTATCAGAAGTATAAGAGAGTCCAGCATTCTCCCCCTCGGTATGTATCCACTGCACTTTACCTTTTCGTTTCTCAATTTCATTTGAATGTATTTATATCAATGGACTCATTCTACTGTGAGTAACTGACGTTGAAAAATATCTAAATTGATGCGAGTCCAATAATATAATTGATTATTCCACTCCTGTTCGCATATTTGGGTTTTTTGGGTGGTCTTGTGGTGTTTTCTTATTATCATTGTGTATATTATACAACTAAAGCCCCCATGATTGTTGCATGCCTTCTACATAATGCTGCACAAAAAACATATTGACAAATAGAACTCAAAACTACATCTAACCGAAATGCACTGTTAAAATAGATTGGTGCCGTACATTACACAGTCAGTAATATACAACAATGGCAAGAGAAGCAAGGTACCACTCTCCATAATTATAATGGCTTTACAGCACGCACGGGTTATAGGCCGAGACCAGTCACGAGACTACAGAAGAATTCGACCAGCAATTACGAGGGACACTTTGATGGTCCGAAATACCATGAAACAAATATTGTCCCTTTACAAGGAGATGAGTGTGTATGATGATGTGTATCCTTCCCGGTTGCTTGAGCGGTTTAGATTTCGTCACTTGTTGGTTGTTCCGGTGTTTCCTGCAGTACTAAAAAAGCGAAGAACAAACAGTTTGCATCTTAGGTTGTTGAAGAAAACTGGAAAAGCAAAACAATGTTCAATGAAGAAATTTTTTAGATACAATCTAAACGGGAACCTTGATCTATAAACATAAGGCGGTCTAAGCACAGAA